AGGGCAAAATCATACAGCAATGAAATTGCTTTTTCTAATAGGCATAATCCATTTTCTTCTCTTTGTAGTCGATGGGTCATTTATATCGTGGATCTTTGGCGGAGGGAGTTCGTCTGAGTCGAGCGAAATTTCTGGAGGAGAGACGGCCCCAACCATGTCAACAGCAAACAACATGGCAAATCCTTCGGCCGCGAATTTTGGTCGGGTGCCTTTTGAAATGAAGTCAGCGGAGCAAAGGTTTTTGAGGGGGGGCGAAGAATATATGGCAGGATTGTCTGAACTCGATACATGTCATCACAGGGTATGGCCTGCAACTTAATTACGCTATTCCCTTCGAATTTCATTTATAATAATGACGTGGACATATAGGCCTAACGTTTTGCCGTGGTAGCCTAAATGGTTCCGCATTTTCCCACTTGCTGACGAGGCACTTGGCCAAAAGCCTGATTTTACAGCACTCTTATTGCTTATCTGAAGAAAACATCAACGTAAAAGTTAGCTGACACTGTGACAGCATTAGCCTATAGATGTACATTCATATGTACAATATACAAAAGTGACAATGTGCACAAATGCTACTTACATGTACTTTTGCCTCTCCTACAGTGCGTTTGTGATGAAAAGAAATGGCATGAATAAATAATAACAAGCTCTGACAGACTAGTAGTAACTTGGAGTTCTCTAACATGTCTAAGTATCCAAATGCTAACATGGCTAGGGGGAATTCAATACTATGCTACTTACATGTACATGTACCACCTGCGGTGTCTAGGAGACTCAGTCTGCGCCCCCTCTGGTCGGAAGCTCTTCCCCATCAGTAAAAAGCATAACCATGAGAGATGTATTTTTCTCCTGTGATGTGACCTCTTTGGATAGCTCTGCCTCTTGCAATAAGTATTTTTACACATGTACACTTGTAAATAGTAAAATGAATGTATCTAGAATAATTACGTTATTGAAAAACCGACATGTACACTGCCCCCCAAAATGTCACATTTCCTGGAAGCTACTGCCTGGCGTGCTTTGAGCTCATCTTACTGGCCAGTGGCTTTTAGGCATTGTCTGTATCGTGTTTGCTTCTCAGCAGATGCTACAGGCATATTGTCTTTCTGTGGGAACTGAAACAAAATATCATCAGTTTTTTTTTAATTTCACAAGAGGTTCAGTTTATATTTGGGAACATTAAAGCAAGTTAAACTCAAAATCTAATATAAATACCATAATCATTTCATTAAATTTGTAAAAATCATTATTCGACTTCATTCATTCACAGTTGCAACAAAATAAGGTGTAAGTCCTACAGTAAGTATAGCTCCGGCATTGTATTGATTGTTGCAAGTCATTATTTGAATAGACCTAATGTCTTTTGTATGGGGGGAGTGGGGACCACAAGTGGCGTCCTACACATACATACATGTACATGTAGCATCATGGAGATACATGTACATGTAGCATCATGGAGATACATGTACATGTAGCATCATGGAGATACATGTACATGTATAGCTCCATGGCAGCACACATTCAAACCCTTAGGATTGAAAAAAATCATTGCTTGCAGAGCGCTGTGAAGTCACTAAAATATTAAGGTCTGAAGTACAATAACAGGAAAAGTATACTTGTACTATTGACATTTTTTTGACATCTGTGTAGGCCAAGGACTATAAATATTTCAATTTTCTCTTTCTTTTCATTGATTATGAGTAATGAAATTAATTACAATTGATGAAATACACTTGTAACTCTCTTTTATCTTGATGCTGGAACTGTAATTCAGATGATAAACTTCAAGGGTTTTATTGGATGGGAAAAAAACTGAAAGTGAAAACCTAGAGAATGTGGCATGTGCTCATGCTGATATAATACGATAGTTAGAGTTCATTCAGGCTGCCTTTTTGGTTCAGTGCCTCACAGTCTGGATCACATTGCATCTGATTGTATTCAGCACACCCTAGCCCAGTTAGGGGTCTAATATTGCTCATACTGGCGAAATCTTGCATAGTTGGTAAGCCACGTTACATGTACATGGTGGTAATTTGTGTTCCATGGTAACTCGCATTACACTTTTTGATGACATTTTAAAACTTATGGCACTATTTATTTTGGCAAACATCTGGCTTACTGAATCAAGGTGTCATAAGTTTAGAAAATAAATCAAGGTCAACAAATTCCCTCTCATATTTTCTTCAGAATAAAAAAAAAACTATTGTTTTTGTAACTCGCGTTACATGACCAAAATGTTCTTTGTGTGATGATAAAATATTTTGGAAGGTGGTGTGGAAATTTCCTCTTAACATGCTTAAAAGACTGAAGTAGACCTGTTTTGCTTCTCTAAATTGAACTGATTGTGAAGTGCTAGTATTTTTTTCTATTTCCAAAATACAAATTCAGTTAGCAGTTTGGATGGCTAAAAATATCTCTTCAGCATTTATAACTAGTATTTTGCAAAATATTCCACCAATTGATATAATTCTTTTTGTTTCTTTAACTTCAACATATGGGTAAAACATAATTACTACTTTCTTTGCAGTTTCATAAACTTGAATTTTGGTGTCACAGTCTACCATCCCATATGTCCCATGGAATAGCCCCCAGAACACCTGTGGTGTCTAGGATAAACAACCGGGCCTGTCGGGGGAGGGGGGCAAGGGGACTGGACCCTCTCTGGTCGGAAGCTCTCCATCATCAGTAAAAAACGTAGCATGAAATATTTTTTTTTTCCTGTGATGTGACCATCCTACAATGTACATGTACAGTACTACATGTAGCTGACACTGTGGCCCCCCTTAATACATACATGTACCTGAAGCTGGTGATGGGGCTGTAGACAACTCCTGCAGTCATGACAGTGTAGCGAACCTTTCTAAAGTTTTCTCTAAACACGCAGAGTACACGTAGGTTTTTGGGACTTGCTGTGTTTACAAGCCTTTGTCTGTCATGATAGCAGTGACATGGTACATGTACATGTATGGACAAGATGGGATTCTGACCCATATGCATAAGTTTGTAAATGTGTAGTAATACAACTCCGACCCTAAGAGCATGATATTGGGAAATTTGCCTTTACATTAACAGTGGTATCTGTAACTGTATTGTAATTGTTAGACTGTCTCTACATTTTGCCATTTACGTTAAAAACCTACAGACTTCACAGTAGGCAATGGCAAAATTAGGGACTGACGACTAATGTCATTGATGTTAAGGACCAATCATACTTCATGCGAAAGGAAAAACAAATGCGGCTGTGTGACATCAGATCAAATATTTATGTTGTGAATTCATAAAATTTGCACACACTTCAAGTTGAGTGAAATTTGGCAAATGTTTTCATGTCGTCACATTTGCTTGACTTTCTCATTTGCCATAAGTATGAACTGGCCTTTAGACAACCTCCAGAGCCATGAATCAAGAAAACAAGAATCTTCCCCGAAAGGCGAGCCATGCGTGTACCTTACAACACCAAAGTTTGATCCCAGCACATGTGGCATGTACATGGTTCCTACATAGTATACAAAACTCATCCAGCATGTCACATTGTTTCTCAGTATCTTGGCATAATGTACTATACATGTACATGTATCTGAAACAGCATTAGACTAATTGTAAACACTCTTTAGTCTTGAGATCAATGTACAATGTCGCTTCAGAGCCAGCTTTTATGGCAGAATAAATTCACAACTAGGAAACAATTTCATTTACAGGATGCCACCAATTTTTCCTTGCAGGGACCTATGTACATGTATTAGCCATCTGGAGGCAGCAACATGTCCTATTCAGATAGTCACTTTGAAAATGCTTAAAACTGTTTCAGACTAGTCTTATGGGGTTTGTGCACATGGTGTCAAGCCGTGTCTGTACATGTATCTCCCAGGACCATACATGTATATCTGTATATTATGGCAAAATTTATACATGTACTTCAATAAACTGCAAGCATGGTTTAAGAGTGTTCAAACAAGTTGAAGCAACAGAATTAAATTTTTATATGCTACATTCGCTTCAACTACCGGTACTTTAATGTTTTCCTGTCATCAAAGCGTTTTATTTTTTAGCATAAAAACAAAATGTATTTCTTTTCCCCAGGTCATTGCTGAGTTGGAGACATCTTGTAATGACATCACAGAGGAGGAGCTGGGTAAATTAGGTGTGGCACTCCTGAACTGTCAGTCCCAATCCGAGGGGCGTCCAACATTCACTTGCACCAAAGAAATGGTAAATATATGTAAAAGACACAGAAATATGCGAAATATAATACATACATGTACATGTACATCCTCATTGTTGTGCTTTTGGACTAGTGGTTACACATGTAGTTTCTTTTCATGTAATTTGGTGTAGCAAGCTTCATATCTTTCCTTGAAGCATGTACATGTATAGTGTACAATAAAATGCATTAAACCTGATATCCCCAAAACCTTTGCTTCTTAGCAAATATTTTTTCTCGACATTTTCTAATTTTTCTCAAGTTACACATTTTACCCTAAAGTGTTAATAACTTAAAAACTATAAAATTACAGACTTTTCATTCTTCAAGTCTTTTCAGCTTGCCCCCTTCTTCAAACCACTCTTCATATCATTCTATTAATTGTGGTGAAAGTGAGGGCTAACAAATACATTATGTTGGACTTTAAGGTCTTGGCGAATTCTTTGAAAAAGTTATATCCAACCCAAGGATGAAAGAGTTTCATCACCTTAATGTGTGTGATACATGTACACTGTACATACACTGTACATGTACTGTACTTGTACTTAAGCATATAGGCCTGTGTTACTGTGTATGTTTATGCGTTTTTTGTAGACTTTGGCTGAATGCACCAGAGATATGGATGCCACAACATGGAACACCTATCATATAATCAGTGACCGGTCACGATCTGTCTGCTATGGTGTGCGACAGCAGCAGTTTCAGCGACAGACTCGATTTGCTGTCAACCAGCTGGCTGCGACTGCATCTGATCAGTTGAATATCATGGAACATCTAAGGGTATGTATATGTTTCAGCAATTACGGTAAATGTACATGTAGTATTTTCTGAAGATTTTCAAATTTGCAAAACAAATTAGAGATTTACACTTACAAACATGTACAAATGTGCCTTTGATTTACATGTATACTGTGTTGCACAAACTTTTACTTCAACCTTCAGGAAGGTAGAGATTACTATCGTACATGTACTGTACCTTGTGTCTGTCTACATTACATAACCCAAAATGCGTCGTTACGTGTGGAACAAATTTCAATCTGTTGTCAGTAGGCCTACATGTGTAAATACATTTACATATACATACGCATGTATATGTTTTTTTTTAAAACGTACCGGTACATGTATCTTTGTGACAAATAATGTCATGTTTCAATTAGCAGTGGAACATTTTCCTCTGCAGTTCTACAGTACTCAGCTTAAAAGAATAAATTTGTGCATCAATAAATGGAGAAACTGTTGACTTTGGCTGCAGGAAGGCCAGACTGAACTACAAAGTGTCACTACTGACACTCTCAAGATTATGACAGATGGACAACAAGAAATACTCCAGAAGCAAGAATCCATGAAGGACTCACAGGTGCATACACAACGGGGCTTGGCTTCCACTGTAGATTTTGGAAGCCTGTGAGAAAAAACCTTATTGACTTGTTTGGATGAGACTTTAAAAACCTGTGATGATCACCTGCTTAAAAATAGAGATGTTTCAGCCATTCCTATGCCACAGAGATTACCTGATTCAGTCGGCTGATTTTAATCAAAATGAATTTGTGTTTAAGATTGCATTCGTATTTCACACAGAGGATTAAAAAGGAAGTGACAGGAAATTTGAAAGGAGCATCTGTGAGAAGTATTCCTCTCCTTTGCTGCACCTTCTGCACCAGTATTTTGCGCCAGCCAAGCTGACAACATCAAACAACCGTTGAAAAGACACAAATGTCATGGATTCTGATATTCCTTCTTAACACTGCATGTTTAGGGTGAACTTCAGGAAAGTATTGAAGGTAATCTTAGAGATCTGACTAGTGAGAAGGCGTTGATAGCAGCTGGCCACAAAGAGCTGGCTAGTATGACAGATAACATCCGACAGCAACTAGGTGAGTCAATGAGTTGAGTTTTCCTTTTCATTTGTACTCTCTAGGGGGATTAGGCTAGAGGCCTAGAAAAAGTACCTTCTGTACGCCAAAAACAGATGACAAAAATGGATGGCCTCATGCTCAGTTTGCCGTGCACTGATTCGCTGATTGTGCTTTTTTGAGCAAGTATGCTACATTAAGTTGAGCACTCAAATTTAGGTGAACCTCATTACTAAGTGCACTGTTAATACAACATTCAGCTTGTAACAAGGAAATGTTTAGGTCCCAATTCTTTGTTCTTCATTGCTTTTATTATTAATAATATAACATTCCTGTTATAATAATGTAATCTACTAAGTCTGAAGTGCGTCATTATGAAAAAGAGAATAAATGTGTGCTTGGCCAGTGCATTTAAGACCAACTCTGGAGAATGGATGAGACTAATGCCCGAGCTGTAGGCCGTCCACGTTCAGTCTCCTGAACCAGTCTTAAACTAACATTAGACTGGGCAAGCACATATTTATTCCCATTCATACATACATGTACCCTTTTAGTCAGAGTCAAAAGAAGTAACTATATGACAGATTTCCAGCGATCATGGCGATGTTGCTCTAGACTTTTACTTTCATTTTCCTGAACTCCCCCTTCCATTTTATGGAACATTCCTTGTGCAAATTGTCCATTTGGAGTGCACATGGCGAGCCGCTTGCACACAGACTCTTGACCAATCACAATCAATTAAACCATCTTGTATCCAGGTGCCAACGCGTGATTTACATGTACAGTGTGTACACATGTACTCAGTGGGCATTATCACATCTCATTATTATGCATTATTGAATGTTAATACACGGTCAAGTTGCGTGTTGTTGAAAAGAGAGACTGTCTAGGTATTTATCAATGAGCTGGATGTACATGTATTAACTCAGTGAATGAATCTATTGTCACAATCTTCTCTGATTGTTGCTTTGCATGGTGTAAACTAATTTTTTTAATGTGGAATCTATAGCAGGTTACCTAGATTTTATTTGCGGTTATCTATTTTTTCATTGTTAGTGTACATGTACATGTAGGTCACCTCACATTTGTCCAAATTTATTTGAATGTGTCACAGTAAACGTAATCTTCCCAGTTCCTTCTGACATGTCTGAGATGAACACCGTGGCCATTCGAGCCACTTCCTGACTTGTTCTTCCTTAAAATCTTTATTTGATGTGTTTAGACAAAAAATGATTTTATACATGTACATGTACATGTAGCAAGCCCAGGTTCCTGAATCTTGCCTGTCTGTCCATACCACTAGCCTGCATGTGTTGCTGCCCTCCAACATACATGTACAATACGTGGCTGTTGATTAAATCTTTGACCCTAGGGACCCTCCTTCTCCAGCTGCATTGCTGTTGGCACTTCAGGTCTCTCCATGAACTCCCAACTTTCAAAAGTCTTGTTATTCACTGAGAAATTTTCTAGGTTTTTGAAGAAGCAAGGTACATATACATAGAAGGAACAAAGCTGTTCGCAGTACCAAAAGGTACTGTACATGTACATGTAGCTTGACTTCGGCTTTGAAAGAGCCACATGTAGCTTAATTGCAAAGAATTGACAGCTGGGTCTGTGCATAATGTACAAGTTGGATGTTATCAGAGGAGTGAATTGCAAGTTGACAGCCATACTGGTATCTCTGCCAGAAAATAAGTGACATTGTCATTGCATCATACAGGATTGGATAATTAACCAGCAAATCATTTTATGCACAAACCTATGGGGTTAAATTTGGGCCTTACATGTAAACTAGTAAATCAAATATATGTAAAATGCTATTTAACATGTATGATTTCGGTCACCTGATGGTCACTCCCTTTTTTTATTGTAGATAATGCTACCAAGCAGTTGTTGAACCAGGATCAGGATCTAAGACGGAACCATGAGGAGCTTCAGAAAGACCTGGCCAGCATTCGCTTGAAAGCTAAAGAAGTCTGGGACAAATTAGGTCAAGTCACTGTTCATATTTATTATTACCACATTGTTGAAGTCAACAGTAATAACAGTCAGCAGTAGCAATCCTGTTGATATTACCAGAGTTCAGACTGTCTTGTCCAGTTTTGCTCTATAAATTTGAGATGCCTGCAGCATCATCTGTGGTCTTCGTTTGATTGCTGTTAGAAATCAACAGATTCAACAGGCTCCCAGTGAAGATGGGTCTGAAAGAGGGTAGTTTTGTTTAGAAATCCACAAATGACTAACTTTCATACATGTAGGTTCCAATGTAATGATTTAATATCATTAGGACCATCTCTGGTTCAGCACATTCAGAGACTGATTTGGGAGATCTCACCACTGTCTCGTGAGTCATAACACAAATACCCAGGATACAGCACGTGCCTCTGTAGATCTCTCTCATTAGATGTCATCTTTGTAGGAAAATAGCAATTGTGTAAACACCAACATGTGCGTTTGCACGCAGTGTGTAAAATGTTCCAAACTCAGGCTCGTGCTGATCCAGATATATTCAAGTTATAGCAGAGCTGATGTGCATCATTAAAATTGAAACGAAAAATACTGATGCACATGACGCAATTTGAGCGAGACCTACATGTACATGTATAGAGTCACTGTTTGAAACGATTTGCAATGCTGCATATATGACCCGGTAAATTTAATCTGATGTAATGTTATGTAATGTTTCTTACAGACGGAAACATGCAACATGTGTCATTTTTCCAAGATGAAACTTTCCAGTATTACAAGGAGACCATTGATAACCTTAAGAAGATGAACGATACCATTAACTATCTGCTGAACCTTGTCAATGACATGCAGACTGGAATTGACCTGCGTCTTGGCTGGTTAACTTCCCTTGTTGGAGGTGTTGGTGAGTGTTGATTGCAGGCATGGGAATCTTTCCAGTTTTACCGGAATTCTGTTTTTTTCCCTTCAAATTTATGGTCTTCGAGTTCAGTGTAAAAATGGAATAAACCTTGAGGGGTAAGTTGTAAGGGGGGTAAATGTTGATTGACTACGCAGTGCTAAAAATTTCCTTAATTCCCAGTGAAATTTGTACATTGAAACAATTTGATTTACACGTCGCTTCAGGACAGTATAAGCAATGCCCTTCGAAATGTACAATGTACGTACATGTAGGAAACAAGGAGCGAATTTCGCGGATTCCCACAGACCTAAATTCTCTTTACGTAGCCAAAGGAGGGAACCAGTGACAAGTGCAGTCGCTTGCGCTTCGCTTTAAAGCTGACTGCCGTAAAAATCAGACTCTTACCTGTTACTGATTAATTCCTCTCACATGACCGGCCATTCTCCTAACTATCATACGTACGCATGCACATTACTCCCAATGGGTCCTTGTTTCATAGAGGCTTAAATTCATGGCAGCGCTGCTGCCTGGGCATGTGCAAACTGGCTTTTGGAAATTGGTACTTGTACAAGTACGTGTGTACATGTATGTATACACGTTCACAGGCAGTCAGGAAAAATTTGAAATCATGGCAGAAGGAAAAAAGTTCGTTGAGCGTGGAGTTGCCAATTTGAAAGAGATTGACAAATCAGTAAGAGTAATCAATTAAGAGTAATTTTAAAAAGAGAAATAACCTTATTATTGAGAAGATTTTGCTTCAATAAATTAGAGGCAGAGGGGCCATGAATTGCCTCAGATTACAGCACAGAGCATCCACAATCCGAAATTTTCCCGGGGCCCTTAGGTGGGCCCCGGACCCCACACAATAAGGGCTTCGTGTGCCGCACTCGCAGTATACATGTATACTCTTCCCATGATAAATGTCATCACAAATTGTTTTTAGGTTTTTTTTTTTTGCCCATTCACATGCCTGTAATTGATTGATTGAATGATACCATCAACTACCGTATTTGCTTACCTGGTCAATGACATGCAAACCAGGACTGACTTGCACCTTGGCTAATTAGCTTCCCTTGTTGGAGGTGTTGGTGAGTGTTAAGTAATGGCAGACTGTCTCTCCTGTTGCAAATTTACTAACTTAATCAAAAACTACAAATTGTAAAGGTGTATGTTGAAGTAAATTGTGCCAAAGTTTTGTGATTTACCTCTGTGCATTCTACCCCAAAATAACAGTAAAACACTGCCCTTAACTGGTCTTAAAGTTAACTTCAGGGTTTGACAACTGTTAATGTTGTCACTGTTCAAATGTCATAAATGTTTAAATATTTAAACAAGTGTCCAATGATCAAAAAATGAATCTTGTATTATGTTGCCTACATATACATGTATGTGTTGTCCTGGCTTATTTCACAGAATTCAACAACGTCTGTCAACATTTTTCAAACCTTAAAGGCACGTCACAATGTGTGATCATATCTCAATATACTTTTGTTAACGGTTGAAACGTCCGTCTTGTTGATCTTGTACAGTTAGTTTCATATTGTGTCCCATTGCATTTCACATATTGGCTGATGTTTTCGGAAAAATCTTGAAAGTGTGTCTGAAACAACTGTCACTAGAACAAATTACCCAATGAAATGCAGATTGCCATTCTTCACTGTTTGTTTCAGGTGAGAACCTGACTCTCTTGTCCACCTGTGTGGCCCATTGTGCGTACTTCTTGCTAGCTTCCCTCTGTGTGACCTTCCTTCACACTCCTACCTTTTCCCGGATTGTCTTGCTGCTGCTGGTCCCACTGAATGCCATCTCAGAGATCAAACATGGGGCTAGCCTAGACTTCTCCGGTCTTACCATCCTCATTGTAGGAGTGGTTATGGGTAAAGTGAAAGAGCAGTCATTCGTTTTCTTGATTTTTCCTCTTGTTTCCTCAACAAGGTCAACTTACAAAGCTTAACCACTTCCTGCTGGGAACTCTGGGATCAGAGACGTATGGTTTATATGGGTGGCCGGGGTCTCCGAACTCGGACAAAGGAAACAGGGCCCTGTAACAAAAGACCGTACTCCGAACAAAAGACCAGGCTGCTGGGCATTACCGACATTTTTCACTCTCAAAAGTGGTGATAATCCAGCCTAGTTTTGAAACCGAATACCAGGGTTTAGGGCATTGAGAGCGAGCGGATTACCACCGGGGACAAAAG